AGAGGTGTGATGGGGCGTCGCCTTCCCCTGATCACCAGGTCGCCTCCCACCCCTGAGGGCTCCTGGACTGTGAGAGAGGGCAGGCCAGGCTGAGGGATGCCCCCTCCAGTGCATGAATTTTCATGTACCGGGCCTCTAGTTGCACATAAATAAAATTGTGATAGAAATGTAGCATCATATTATATAATTAGTTTTATACTATGCTTTCTTAATTCACACTATGTGCAGAGTATTTTCTTATATCCTTGAAAAACATGACTTTATAAAAAATGGTTGTAGAGCACTCCATGCACACATATTTCTTAGAAATTGATAATCAATTTATTTTTTATTAATATACTTATTCCTAGAAAGAGTAATACATTTCCATGGTTTGAAATAGTCGAAAGTCTCCTATCCCAGAGGGAAGATGAAGGTGGGTGGGTGGGGGGTGGGTGGAAAGAGATCAATCAAAGAACTTGTATGCATATATGCATAACCCATCGACACAGACAATAGAGTGGTGAAGGCTTAAGAGGGGAGGGGGAAGTAGAGGGGGACGGGCTAAAAGAGGTCAATGGGGGGGAAAAGGAGAAAAATGTAATATTTTCAACAATAAATCCAAAAAAACAAAATAAATAAAAATAATAAAAATGAGGCCAAGGTTGTGAGTAGGTTTATTTTCATAGAAGGCATGATTTCATGTAGGTCAGCACTAAGGTAGGATGCAGTTAAAAAGGCACATGGACCAGAACCCACTAGAAGAGTTGACAGAGCTCAATAGCACAGAAAAATAAACTCAAAGAATAAAGGAAAAATTGTGTCTAATAGTGTGCTTGTAGAGGTTTAGCAATACAAAGTGTTATTTTCAAATAATCTTCATGTAATTTCTATGTTAGGTGATACGTTCATACCATTCTGAATCCAATTAACCTAAAATAAAATAAATGGTACGGGTACTTTTAAGAAAATGGTAATTCTACATATGGCGAAAAATTGTTCTTTCTTTTGCTGTAACTATTATTTTAATCTACTCCAAGCCTGGACTGCATTTCAGATACTTGAAATGATAGAAAATGACTGTCTGGTTGTTCAAATATTTTCTCATAGATTTGATGAACAGTGAGAAAATGCCTCCACTTGGGTAGTTAAGAGTAAATGATTACAGTTAAGTCCTTCCAGAAATAGTCTTTATAAAAAGCCAAATTCTGAATCCCTTAGATATTTTATAATGTTTTGAAATTCCTTATTTGATGCTGTAAGTTAACATAAACTGATGAACAAAAATAGAGCCAGAGGAAAAAAGAAACATTTTAGAATATAATAGAAGTAATCCTGTTATTTTCAGATTTTTAATATTTCCTATAACTTTTGTGATATTATACTATGTTAGTACAGTTTGGGTAATATTATTATATTTAAAATCCTTTTTTCCTTGAAATATTAATGTTTACTGCATGTAAATGGCTAATTATTTTGTATCTACAATCTGGTAATAGATTTATTTTGTATATTGTAAAAATAAAAAAATAAATTAAAAAGCCATATTTAAAATTTAATGCAAATAGTAAGACTAATATTCTTTTTGTAAAATATTGAGCTCTAGTTTGTATTGTTATAAACTGTTTCCCTTTTCCCAAGTCATTGAAATATCTTGTATGTTAGACTCATATTATCCATGCTCAACTATCCACCATCATCGTCAAAAACTTCCCCAGGACTTTTGGATATCTAGTGAGTAATGCTGTAAATGTACTTCTTGACTTAGATTTCTGTATTTGGAAAAGGTTCATCTTTAGAGAGAGAAAAGAATGAGGCCAACTCAGAAAGAAAATTAAATCACTGACAAAAACTGAAGAGGATTTTGAGCTGTTCAAGAACTTGTATTTTAGTAGTTCCCGAAGCCTTATATAGCTTAGGAGCCAGAGAAGCAAAGAAAAAGAAAAAGAAAAGAAAAGAAAAGAAAAGAAAAGAAAAGAAAAGAAAAGAGAAAAGAAAAGAAAAGAAAAGAAAAGAAGGACAAGACTATTCATTTGGGATATATCTTGGGAGGGATATAATATTACATAAAGTTATAAAAATGTTTGGTGGTCTTAATGAAAAAAAATGTTAGCAGAACTGAAATTAAACTGAATTCTTTCTCTTGAAAATAAAATCCAATACAAAAAAATGCATGTTTTTTATGTTCTATCTATATATACCAGATGGGTTATTACTTATTACCTATACTTGCAAAATGTTTCTCTAGTAAATACATTTTCTAATCAGTGGTAAACATGAAAATATATTACATGCATGCAGATGTCTGTGTGTGTATGTGTGTGTATTATACATACATGTGTACATACATTTATGTGTATATATGTGATAATTATGCAGAAATTACTATTTTTGACTGATAAAAAGCTCTTGCAAGGAGCTAAGGTTTCTGTAGGATGAAGGAAACATTGTTTTTTTTAAAGTGGAAATTGTTTAGAAGCAGGTACCTGTAATATCTGCAGGCCATGATTTACAGCAGGAAAAAGATAACTCTATACTGAGTTATAAATAACCACCACCAACAACAAAAGAGAACTCTCTGCACATATGAGAGATGCACTTTACAACTTAGGAAGTTTTCCCAGGCATATACTCATTTGATTCCCTTAACATTATGTGAACACTGTTACAAGTATGCACAGCAAATGTTACAAGTTTAGTGTTGTAAAGAACCATTTTATCATATCTATAGATTCTGTGGGTCAGAAATTTGGAAAAGACACAGTAGGCAATTCTTTTTTCTTTTGTATAATGTCTAGGGATTCAGTCAGGAAACATGAAAGCTGAGGTTGAATTGTTATTATGTGGGGCTCATTCATCTGGGCTGCCAGAACTTGAAGACTAAAGCTGACAACAGAAAAAACATCTATACATGGCCTCCCTCGTGACTTGGCATCCTTACAGCATGACAGCCTCAGAGTAATTGGACTTCTCACATGGTGACCCAAGGATCCAAGAGCTAGTGTTCTAATGTAAAAGGCAGAAGGAGCACTGCTTTTTGTGATTGGGCCTTAAAAATCAAGCAGCATAATTTCCATACCATTCTATTCATTACAAGTGAGTCACAAACCCATTCAGATTAAATGGGATAAGAATTAATGTCCATGTGTTAGAAAGGAAGTGATTGTGTTCGAGGAGGACTTGTAGAATATAGGATATTTTTGCAGCCATCTATTGAAAATACAATATGCCACAGAAGATAAAGGTTCAAAGAGATTGAATGCTTTGCTGACCCAGAACAGTAAGGTAAAACCAACAGCAGGCAATTGACTGAAAGACAACATTGTGATCTACAAATCATTGTTCAAAATCTATAGCAAAACAAGTGAGATGAAATTGTATCACAGCCACAAAAAGGAAGTATGGACTTCAATATAACAACAATACTTTAAACCTTCAAAATTTAAAAGTTAATCTTTGATACCTATTTTTCTTTTGAGGAGCCTTCTTTGTTCCCTCTCTACATTAATTTCTGATATCCTGGTTGTTCTGAGCTATAGTCAACGTTCAGGAAATATCTTAATCTAATGCAATGTTAGAGTAGATTTCCCATTGCCAAAATCATAAAAGGAGATTTGTGTTGTACAATGTAATTATATCTGGTGGGACTGTTTCACAGCAGACATACATTTTTCCTGAGGGTTTTCCTCAGTGTCGAGTCAATTTTTGTCTGGTGTGCTGCTTATTTCTCAGCATGTTGGATCTTGGAGAATTTTCCCTGCAGCAGCTGAGTGTCATCAATGAGGAGATACGTCTTAAACAAGAGCGCTCTCCCATGATGGTATTCAAGATCCCGAGGGGAAATGGGCCTTCACTGGAGATGCAATTGGAGAAGGACAGTAAGGATTTCCCAGCTCAGTAGCTGAGGCAGAAGGCTTCCTGTTCCCAGAGCAGCAGCATCGCTGGGGGAATTATGACAGGATGTTTCCCAGGTGCACTGATGATGTGGTGAGCAGGGCCCTGGCATCTGAGGAAGGAAGGACTCAATGGCAAAAGGCAAATGTGTTTCATACTTTGTTTATAATTGTGACTCAACTAAATTACATGTCATTAAACCCATATTCAGGCTACTTCAGTCTTCCTAAATAGAGGATCTATCGTGTTCCCACCATCAGTGGATGCCTAACTAACAAAGCATTAAAGTGAAGAAAAGATTGTCCAAATGACTCTCCTTATGTTCTTTTGGATGACTTCTTGCTATGGTCCTTTTGCTCCATATTTAGCATTACCAACCACATCTATTTTGCCCAGGTCACAGCTGTTCTTTTCAGGCAGTCAATATTTTTCTCAGTCTTAATAAATCCAGCAAGGCTACTGATATAAATAGCTTTCAGAAGGATAAAAACTAATAGGCAAACAAAGGGCTTAATCTTTTACAAAATTCAGTTGCATTGAGACATAGTAGATAAATTATATTTGAGAATCAGTCCATACTTTGTGACTGTCTGACTTTGCTGAATTCCTAGTCTTTATGAATTTTAGTTTCACCTCTTCAAAATCAGTTGTAAATGTATCACATCGAATTGCTATACACTTTAAATTAAAAATATTTAAACAAATATAATATCATCTCAAAAATTATGTATGTAATATTAACAAAGTTGGTTAAAATTGGCAGTTCCTTGTTCCCAGTCCAAGTATGTCCGGGACAGGGCACAGGAATCTACATTAATAAGTTCCCTCGACAACTCCAGTCTTGGAATAATACCATAAGTAGAACACACCACTCAATAGAGATAGAAATGAAGAACAACAAAGATACTTTTTAAAAAGTATAGAAAAACCTAACATGAGCAGATATCCTTTCAGAAGCTTTATAAAGTAATGCAAGAATAGTCACACAGTTCTGAATGAGCATGATTGGTTACTGGACATGCTCATATGCTTTTTCTTTATAAACATAAAAGATGTTTCACCAAGAAGCAAAATTTATAAACTGCTTTTCTAGAAGTAGACCCTGGACTCGAATTAGGTAAATGTAGCTTGCTCCTGAGCATCAAGGGTCCCGCTAAACTTTCTGTTACATAAGATTGTAGTTCCCTTGCTGACAGAATTTTGCAAATCTCTATCCCATGATGTCAGCTGTTGATGAAAGGTCAGACTCCATTCAGGTAGTGACATGGATGTCATTGATTTACTCTTCCCTCCCACACACATGCAAAAGACATTTGCTCAGCTGTCAGCCAACACTAGGGCTTGTGTCTGCAGTTACCATCCATCTGCTGGAGAGTTCAGAATGTCCAGCTCTCTGCTCTCCCCAACTAGCTTAGCTAACGTATGCTCAATTCAGGTCACAATCTTTTATTTCTTGCTTATAATGGTGAGAGCAGTTTGAGTCACTGAAGAAAAAGAATGAGACACATCTAATGGTACATATAGTCAGAATTTCATCAGTCATTGAGATTCATTAAATGCAAGTGTGTGTAATTATCTAATACAGACTCATCTCCTGCTACATAGTATGCTCTTTATTTGCATTTTATAAATTTTGACTACAACAATGAAACTGGGGCTTAGATTGCTAAGTACCAGATGGGCTTAAAGTATCATTTTTGAGGTTACTTGATTTGTTCATAATCTGGATTGTGATAATGGTTTTACAGATACACACATATGCCAAAAGTTATCAAACTAAATGTTTTTAAAACATGCATTTTATTTTATACTAATTATGCCTCATTAAAGCTGTAAAAAACAAACAATGAACAGAATGCTACATAATATGTTCACGATAGCACAGACAGAAAACAGTGACTCTAATGTTCTCTCTTCAGTGTCCTACTCACCACACCAGGCAGCAGAGCAGTGGGGGAAGAAGGCATGGCCTGGCTGGAATGAAAGGGGATGGAATGAAAAGAGATGGAGTGAAAAGGTGTTTTGGTTTCACCAGAATATTAGCACCTCCTCCTGATGTGCAAACCTGCAGGAAGCCATCCATTGTCAACATTATCATGAAAGTGCAACAAGGAACTTTTAGCAGGGCTAATAGCATGCACCGATTGTTTTGTTGAGATACTGATGGCTCGAAGCAATTTCCTGACCTCATAGCCTCAAAGTAAATCTTTACTGATCTTTTTAATGACCTTTGAGACAGCCTGTCTGCTACTGTTTGCCCTGCTTAACTGAGGACAAAGATGTGTATCTAAAATTGAGTAAAAGTTAACAGGTCCAGGGCTTCAGAGAGCTTCCCCACTAGAGGGAAGTTTTCCGCCTGGCCCCCATGTCTTCTAAATTCATATTTCTTGTCTAGTGTTTTCATCTGTGCATGGCCCCTTCTTCAGATCCTGAACCCTTGCTGCAAATGGATGCGGCACAAACCAACTTGAGAAAATGAAGCCCAAACTGTGGTACTTGGATCCCAAGTTGCCCAGGTGATCTGCTCTGTCATTTGTTTGTGGGGATAGAGATCCTGGTGGCAGTGGAGAAACTTCTGTGCCACAGCCTCAGACCACACCTCAAGTACAGAGGAAGCTGTTAGTCAAAGGAGACTGGGATGACCATCAGCCTTGGATAGAGAAATATGCAAACTCAAAACAGCTGAGCTGTCACCTCTGTTCTGGCTCAGGCTGTGAGGGTCTCATTAGAGGTCTAACCCTGTAGCACATGTAGTAGATGCTCAATAATTATTTTGGGAACAAATGATGGAATGACTCGCCAATTCTAAAAAAATTAAATCCAGTGGCTCTTTTACCATTAGATTTATATTCTAAAGTTACAAAGCAATAGATGCGGTGCAATATTTATTTTGGAAAAAGGTAGAGATGAATGTCCAAACTAAAGTGTGGAGATGATGTGAAGATTCCAGTTCTCTGCGCTTCCCCTATGAGCTGAAGTCACATCATTTACGTCATAATCAGCTTTTCTCTCCAAAGACACTTTGCAGTAAACACCTGGCTTTATTAGGGGCAAATTCATCTGCATTAGCTGACAAAATAACATCACCTTAGCTTTCAGCTTGTTCTGCTTGTTTTCCCACAAAACTCAGCTCATCATAAATTCTCTATAGAAATAATACTCCTATTTTTGTAAATATTGATAATTAGTTATAGTTCACTATTTTATTGAGGAATAATGGAAGCTTCCGACACTAGCCACATTATACATTATAGGACATAATCAAGTAAACCATGAGGTGTGCCAATATAATTTCAAAATTTATAAGAAAACATTTTTCTATCATCCCACTTTAAAACTGTTAGCTCAAATGAAAATAGGAATCATTTTATTTCTTAATGATGGAGACTTACTTGTAGAGAAATTGAAACGCTAGCTATTTCTTTTCAGCAATTGGCCCAAGTTTTCCCTAGTCAGTCCCGTAGGTCACACCATGTTTGTTTGATAGGTAATATAAATTCACTGGGTTTGGAGATTTAAGCTGTTAACTTTCCAAACTTCTCTCTTAGCAGACGAGTTCAATCAGTATAAAGAACACAATGAGGCGTGGAATTATGTTGCATTATGCAGCAAAGTAATTTATTCCTTGAAACACCTAAAAATGAACAAATACATTTCTGAGGCACAAGAACATGCATTCTATACTGTAGGCTAAGATTAATTTAGCATGACCAATAAAGTTTCAAAATCATATTGGGAAAATGTGCCTGTTTAGATGGCTTGGGTATAAAATTTATGATGTTATGAGGGAATGGAGCCTACTATGCAGAAAGTAGCAAAATGGGGCAGAAATCAAAGATTTCATGAAGAACTCATTGCTATGAAATGATAGGCCCTCTTTCTTTCTTGTCCATGTTGGGGAGATTTTGCCATGCCATGCCTTTTTTGTTTGTTTTAAAAAAATGTTCTTTTGCCAAAACTGGTTTGGCTCAGTGGATAGAGCGTCAGCCTGCGGACTGAAAGGTCCCAGGTTCGATTCCGGTCAAAGCATGTACCCGGGTTGCGGGCACATCCCCAGTGGGAGATGTGCAGGAGGCAGCTGATCGATGTTTCTCTCTCATCGATGTTTCTAACTCTCTATCTCTCTCCCTTCCTCTCTGTACCTCTCTGTAAAAATCAATAAAATATATTTTAAAAAAATGTTCTTTTGGTACAATTTATCTTTTGATTGCAAAACAAACAAACTAAAAGCTAATTGGATGGTAAAAAACAATCAAATTGCCTCTAGAATTCCTTGTAAGAAAAGCTTTGACTCTTCTTTTTTTATTTGTTGTCTCTGTTGAATAATAACAATATTAGGCTTCTTTGTATTTTTCCTTTGCCGTTTTTCTGCAGTGAGATTCTTTCCAACTTAATCCTCTCTCACCTGTAATTAACAGTGGATAACAATATCTTAACTCTTTCTCTGTTTTGCATAAGCAAAATTATGTGATTAGAAATTTGCATTTAATAATCCATTTAGGAAAATGAGGCATGTAAAGGAATTTGGTTTATTGTCCTGAAAGGTTTCCCTATGCTAATCCTCTTACCCCTAACCAAAGGGGGGAAATTATGGCAAAGATAATACACGTTTTTACTGAAGGAGCCAGAATGTGTGCTGTGGAATGCAGTTTTAGGTCATAAGTAAACCATATTTGCACAGATGAAATCATTAGAATGAGGAGGGAGGAGGGAAGGGAAAGGCGATGAGAACCCACTTTGAAAGGATTGAAAATGGACTCTGGTGCTCTGAGTGTGCTTAATATAGCATCCTCCCTGTAGGAGTGACCAAGAGGTGGATGAGGATGTGCCATAGGAAGCAGATTACAGTGCATGTGATGCTGATTAGAGAATAAGCTAAGAAAGAGGTCATTACAGCTGAGGATGATGAGAAGACAACAACACCTGGAAATATGCAGATGTACAGAGAGCAGGCTAAGGCAGCTTCCCCACAGGCCCCTGAAGCTTCCCCACAGGCCACTGCAGCTTCCCCACAAGCCACTTCAGCTTCTCCACAGGCCACAGAAGCTTCTCCACAAGCCAAGGAGGCTTCCCCACAGGCCACTGCAGCTTCCTGACAGGCCAAGGCAGTTTCCCCACAGGCCACTGTGGCTTCTCCACAAACCACTGCAGCTTCCCCACAGGCCACTTCAGCTTCTCCACAGGCCACTGCAGCTTCACCACAGGCCAATGCGGGTTCCCCAGAGGCCACTGCAACTCTTCCACAAACCAATGCAGCTTCTCCACAGGCCACTGCAGGTTCCTCACAAGCGGCTTCTCCACAGGCCACTGTCACTTCCTCACAAGCCACTGTAGCTTCCCCACAGGCCAATGCAGGTTCCTCCCAGGCCACTTCAGCTTCTCATCACGCCAGGGCAGCTTCCCCATAGGTCACTGTTGCTTCTCTGCAGGCCACTGTAGCTTCCTAACAGGCCACTGTAGCTTCCCCACAGGCCACTGCAGCTTCCCCACAGGCTACTGTGGCTCCTGAGGGGCCATTATAACATCACCGCAGGTTGCTGCAGCTTCCTCACAAGCTACTGCAGGTTGCCGAAAGGCCAAGGCAGCTTCCACAAAGGCCAATGCAGATTCCACACAGGCCACTGCAGCAAGACCACAGGCCACTGAAACTTCCCCACAGGCCACTGTAGCTCCCCTGCAGGCCATTGCAGCTTCCCCACAGTCCACTGAAGCTTCCGCACAAGCCAAGGAAGCTTTTCCACAGGCTAGTGCAGCTTCCACTGCCACTTCTCCACAGGCCACTGTGGCTTCCCCACAGGCCACAGAAGCTTCCCCACAAGCCAAGGCAGCTTCCCTACAAGACACTGCAACTTCTCCAGCAGCCACTGCAGCTTCCTCACAGGCCACTACAGCTTATTCACAAGCCAAGGAGGCTTCCCACAGGTCACTGCAGCTTCCCCACAGGCCACTGTGGCTTCCCAGGCACCATTGTAACGTCATCACAGGCTACTGCAGCTTCCTCACAGGCTACTACAGGTTCCAGAAAGTCCAAGGCAGCTTCCACAAAGGCCAATGTAGATTCCACACAGGCCACTGCAGCTAGACCGAAATCCACTGCAACTTACCCTCAGGCCACTGCGGATTCCACTCTGGCCACCGTAGCTTCCCCACAGGCCACTGCAGCTTCTCCACAGGCCACTGCAGCTTCACCACAGGCCAATGCAGGTTCCTCACAGGCCACTGTGGCTTCCCCACAGGCCACTACAACTTCCCCAGAAGACACTGCAGCTTTTCTACCAGCCACTGCAGCTTCTGCACAGGCCACTGCAGCTTCCCCACAGACCAAGGCAGGTAGCCCACATGCTAAGGCAGCTTCCTCAAAGGCCACTGTGGCTTCCCCACAGGCCAAGGCAGCTTCCCCACAGGCCACTGTGGCTTCTGAGGGGCCATTGTAATGTCTCCACAGGCTGCTGCAGCTTCCTCACAGGCCATTGTGGCTTCCCCACAGGCCAGTTCAGTTTCCCAACAGGCCAGTGGTGCTTCCCCAGTGGCCAATGTGGCTTCCCCACAGGTCACTGTAGCTTCTCATTAGATCACTGCAGCTTCCCACAGGCCACTGCAGCTTCCCCACAAGACACTGCAGCTTCCTTACTGGCCACTGCAGCTTCCCGACAGGCCACTGTGGTATCCCCAACAGCCACTGCAGATTCCACAAATGACACTGCAGCTCCTCCACAGGCCACTGCAGCTCACCCACAGGCCATTACCGCTTCCACATAGGCTGCTGCATCTTTCTCACAGGCCTCTGCAGCTTTCCCACAGGCCACTGCAACTTCCCCACAGGCCATTGTGACTTCCCCAAAGGCCAGTTCAGATTCCCAACAGGCCAATGCAGCTTCCCCAGTGGCCAATATGGGTTCCCCAGAGGCCAAGGAAGCTTTCCACAGGCCACTGCAGCTTCTGTACAGGCCACTGCAGCTTCCCCACAGGCCACTGCACCTTGCCCACAGGCCACTGCAACATCTTCAGGGGCCACTGCAGCTTCCACACAGGTCACTGCAGCTTCCACAAAGGACAGTACAGCTCTCCCACAGGCCACATCAGCTTCCCCATAGGCCATTGTATCTTCTCAACAGGCCGCTACAGCTTCCTCTTAGGCCACTAAAGCTTCTTCACAAGCCACTGCAGCTTCCACACAGGCCACTGCACCTTCACCACAGGCCACGACAGTTTCCTCACAGGCCAAGGCAGTTTCCCAAGAGGTCACTGCCACTTTCCCACAGGCTCTGGCTTCCCCACAGGACACTGTAGCTACCCCACAGGCCACTGTAGCTTCTCCACTGGCAAAACTTCCCCACAGGCCAGTTCAGATATCCAACAGGCCAATGAAGCTTCCCCAGTGGCCAAGGAAGCTTCCCACAGGCCACTGCAGATAGACAACAGACCACTGCAGCTTCTCCATCTGCCAATGCAGCTTCCCACAGCCCACTAAATATTCCCCACAGGCCAAGGCAGCTGCCCCACAGGTCACTGCAGTTTCCCCACAGATCACTGCTGCTTTTCCACAGGCCACTACAGCTTCCCCCAGGCCATTGTAACTTCTCGTCAGGTTACTACAGTTTCCAAACAGGCCACTTCAGCTTTTCCACAGGCCATTGCAACTTCTCCGCAGGCCACTGTGGCTTCCTCATAGGCCACTGCAGCTTCCCCACAGGCCCCTGCAGCTTCCCCTCAGGCCATGACACAGAGATTCAAGAAACTGGTCCCAAATGGAGCCTTTCGGGACATGTCCTGAAGCCTAGTCTTAGATCCAAACAAGTTGCCACAGTTCTATGGTTTCCTCTGGAATTGCTCCCACTGCATTAAGACACAATGTCACTAGCAAAGGCTGCTATTAAGCGGGCATTCTAGCCTCTTGCTGGACAGCTGATTTTATTTCTCACCACGTATTTCACTTGGCAGGTCTAGCAAACAACCCTGTTAGAGGGGCCTGCCTGTGGAATTTATGAGGGAGCCTTCTGGGGTTTGCCCCTTCACCTTTCAACATCGAGCAAATCATGCCTGTCTAGACGGAGGAGCGCCACATCAAACTGCTAAGAGGCTGTGTCTGCCATACGTGAAGGGATCATGAGGAATTCTCCAGTTATGGTGAAATGGGCCCCGCTAGCAGTATCAGACGTTTTAAAGGGAGGGTCTGTTTCCTGCCCCAGGGAGAATTCTCAAAATGATGTCAGTTCACCTTCTGCTCTGGTGTCCTCATTTCACCTGACTGTCCCAGGAGTGCGCCTCTGGTTCCCTCTTCTACAAACTAGAGTCCACGTTTTGTTCCCACCCGGTATTTTTCACAACATTTGAATATTAGCACTTTTTACAATGTGTTTGGTTAGCACACAGCTTAGAATTCATAGCATTGTTAATGTTTAAAAGTGTAATGTGGGTCTCTTTAAGATTATAAATCTTTTTATTTGACTTTCACTTCCTAGCAAAAAATAATTAAGTCTGTTAAAATGAGAATCAGGGGGGCAGGTAAAATAGGGGAAGGGGAGTAAGAGGTAAAAACTTTCAGTTACAAAATAGTCACAGGGGTGTAAAGTATAATATAGGGAATATAGTCAATAATATTATAATACTTTGTATGGTGACAGATGGTAACTAGAATTTTCGTGGGGATGATTTCATAATGTATGTAAATATAGAATCACTGTGATGCACACCTGAACTTAGTAGGATATTGTATGTCAATTATACATCAATTAAAAAAATGAGAATCACACCAAGTATGAAAATTATAAAGATATATGTATGATACACATGTATATGTCTTATATGTGTAGTATATTTAGTATATATACATGTATCCACATGTAATATGTATATATGGAAGCCCCACTATTTGAAAAACCATTTGTTAGGCATCCTAGATAAAATTAAAACTCAAGATAAAGGCTTTCTCTTTCTTAGGGGAGTTAAAAATTTATTTGAAAATGTGCATAAACACTAAAATTGAGAATTATATGACAGGACAGTGTGAATGATAACAGTAATCATTATTAAAGTAGTACACATTTTTTGTTATAAGTTGTCTTTTCTTATTCATATGCCAATATCTGTTGTAATATTGCCAACAGACTATACTTTCTTAAGGAGTGCAATGACCATGAATATTTTGCAAGTTATTTCTCATTTTATTTAACAAGAAAAAAATCAAATCAAAATAAAGACATCTTTTGTGCCTTGCAAATTGGTGTAAAACCTCTCCAGTGAGCCCATCATTCAAGTAAGGACAGGCTATCTGCTCCTTTATGGCGGTCTTAACTACCCGGACAAATTCCAATGTTTTTCTTAAAGGTCCGAACATACAAAGGATCATAAAAAGGATCATAAGGTAAATCCTTAAAGGGAAGTTTAGTGTGTGGATCCCCATAAACTCTTACGCAAAGGTAACTAGAATGAGAGAAACATTCCTTGGTGTAGTCCTTACATTCTAGGGAAAGCAAGGACCCACATGACTGGGGACCTGGGCTTAGAAGGAAGGGGCCACCAGTGAGGAGCCAAGTCGTCCAGAGTGTTCTGATTCTATGGGTGTCTCTGAGATGGTGTGTCTATCGTGGCAGTCAGGTCAGGAGACTGTCCTTAGTTGGGATTCTTATTTGTGGTGTTCTCCCCTGCTGGCCTGATCGCCCCTAACTGCCTCTGCCTTGGCCCCCACCACCATGGCTTTGTCCAGAAGGAAGTCTGGCAGACAAAAATACATAACCCCTATATCTGGACTGATAGCCAGCCCTATGCATTATACTGTCAAACCGGTTATTAAAACATTGAACCACTTTCTTATACCTTACACCAAACAGCTGTTTCCCTTAAAACCTCTCCTCAGCCCCCATCCTAGGTTCTGCATTCCCAGTTCACCCAGATTTGGTTCTGATTGGTCAGTTTCTATGCCAGTCAGTGTCAAAAGCTCCTCCTCCTAGGCAGCCATTGTCTCCTCTGAGAAATCCAGAACGGCCCTGCCTTCACGTTGGCGCCAGCCCTTCAGTCACACCCCCAGTCTGCTACCAAATGTATCTCTGGCTGCTCTGAAAAGTGGCACCTCAGGTCTGTGCTGGTGGCTATTTTGAATTCTCATCTTTGACCTAACCTTCTTAGAGTCCAACCTCCATGAAGGCAAGCATTTGTCTTGTTCATTCTTAGTTCACTCATAGACTTTACCTGTGTCTATGCATCTATGCTAGCACCACATGGTGACTGGTCAAATGGTTGTTTTGGTCATCAAGGTCACTGCTTTTTTATATATATAGACATTTACTGAAGATTAGCAGGGAATATTGATCATTATTGATCAATACTATGAATAATGTTTTAAATTATTATTGTTGAAAGTATTACATATCTCACTCTTTTTCCCCCCATTGACTTCTTCTAGACCACCCCCGCCCCCTGCTCCAGGTCTTCACTATTCTATTGTCTGTGTCCATGGGTTAAGAATATATGTATATAAGTTCTTTGGCTGATCATTTCCCACCCATCCACCCTCCCCCGCCTTCTCTCTGAGATTCAACAGTCTGTTCCATGTTTCTATGTCTCTGGATCTATTTTGTTCATTAGATTCCACATATGAGTGAGATCATGTGATACTCATCTTTCTCTGACTGGCTTATTTCCCTTAGCATAATACTCTCCATGATTAATTTGAAACATAATATATATTTTGCCAAGTTGTAAAAGATATGAATTTTTTATTGTAGTAAAATATATCAACATAAAAGTTATCTTTTTAAGCATTTTTAATGGACAGTACAGTAACATTGTAGGAGGTGATTGAGAGTACATGACCATCAGTTACCAGTGGTTCCCAACCTTCTGGCCCTTTAAATACAGTTCCTCATGTTGTGACCCAACTATAAAATTATTTTCGTTGCTACTTCATAACTGTAATGTTGCTACTGCTATGAATCGTAATGTAAATATCTGATATGCAGGATGGTCTTAGGCGACTCCTGTGAAAGGGTCGTTCGACTGCCAAAGGGGTCGCGACCCACAGGTTGAGAACCGCTGACTGTTAACCCATGACCTAGACCAGGGCTAGTACTCAGGGACTCCTCA